ACCCCCACAAAGAAACCAGTTGTCCTCCCCCGATAGTCTTACCTTGGCCAATATTTTGTTCTCGGGTTTAGTGACTGTGAGTTTGGCGGCAGCTCCGCTCCCCTCCTGTCGAGTGGCCACAACAACAGATGCCTTCTTCATGGTCACAGACATCCTGAGACTGACCAAAACGGGGAAACTGACCAGTACCAGTACAACACTTGACCGCAGACTTGACCACAGGCTTGACCACAGATAAACACAAAGCCCACCCCTCGCACGGACGTCGCGAAGGTACGAATGTCCACTACCCCAAGAGCGGGCTTGGCTGGTAAATCCTTCTTTAAAGAAAAACCCGAAATGTAAACGACTTTTGAATTTTTTTTGGTGAAGTTTTTGTGTCTGAGATCGAGCAACAAGTGTCTTTGTTTCGTGATTTGGCTGAAACCACGACACCTTTTCTACGACATAAGTGACGTATTCTGCGGCGTGTTTGACTATCCAGACCCTAATTTGCCCGTCTCAGTCCGAGCTTGTCTTCTGCTCTTTCTTCGGCTTGGTTTTGTTAAAAGTTTTACGTCACTCCCAACTGTATTTTGTCGTATGAATAGCACTTTTCTTTCTGTATGAAGCGAGTTATCATCCAAGAATCAAAATATCACAATACAGGTATCTTATTCTAAAATACAAGGCCGCTGACCCATATTTCGAAATCCAAATAACACAGTTAATTATTCAAAGGAGAGAGGAACACAATAAACTTTTACATGTTTTCGTCGCGTTATTGTGGGGACATCACAACAAAGAGCTGGCACTGTACTGGCGCGCTGTGTGTTTATGAGTGCGGTATTTGTCAGCTCGTCTCTGGGGCGTGTGAGGGGCTTACATCGCTCTCCTTGGCCGCGATCGGCGAAGATGTCAACACGGTTACCTTGAAGCGTGGCTGGAGCCAGCCCGGTGCACCCGTTATAGGAACGGTGTGAGGCAAACAGCGACTTACTCAGGCCTGGGCAACAAAGCGCGGGAGTGCAACAACTGGCTGCTCGGCCACCCGAAGTTTAGTATCAGTAAGGTTTTACGGCGCTCGCAACTGCATACGGTCATATGAGTGCCAAGGGGTGGACGTCAACGGAGAAGTCCAAACGGGGAATCAGGTTTACTCTGCTCACCTCTCTAGCCTCAACAGCACAAAGTCTGCTTTGACCATCAAGGCATCCCGGAAATAGCAGTTCACAAGAGTGACAAATATACAAAATAAGTAGAGGAAAAATGACGATAGTAAGGATGAGGAAAGATAAAGCAGCAGTCCCTCCATGTTGTTCCTGCACTGTATGAGCATGACGTTGATAAATCAGCCCATTTACAATTCTAATGTGCTTAAAAACATGTTAATACCCCCCCC